TTCTCTGTGCTCCAGAAAGACTATGTCACATGGTCCTGAGGTTTACACAGCTGGCTCCCCTTTAGCATGCTTTGTGGCAGAGGAGGAATTCAGCAGAAGCCACAGATAGGCAGGTATACCTTTGGCTGCCCGGTAGTCCCAAACATCTGCTTCGGGGGATTATTACATGTGTTTGATGGACTTTTGTGTGTTTGCTTTATTTTTCAAGTTGTAGTTTTGTGTACTGGCTTGCTTATTTATGGGTAGTATATAGAGTCAACCACTGTAGACAGCTTAACCGTGCTACTCAAGTTCTCGCTGTTCTTTACTTACCTTACAAATCCCTAGCTCTGGGCAAACCTCACCTTCTCGTCATGTCTGCTGTATTGCTAAAGAAAGTCACAGAATCCTGCTTATTGGCTCCCTTCACATTTTCGGTGTCTAAACCACAGCTGGACTTTCAAGAGTTGCCAGGGCAGCATTGTTACATGGTTCCAGGAGATGTCCCTAAAGAAATGTACCCATTGGCCGGATAAATTTATGAAATTTGGCATACGGTATTGGCTCTTCTGGGAGACCCTTGGGACAGTGTCCTGAATTGGGGCTGGGGACCTTAACCTCATTAATTGTTCTTCCCCTTTGAGGGAATGAGTAGGATTATTTATTAGGTTGTGACCGTTATTTTCTAGCAAACTGTCCCAAGGCCCAAGTGTCTTCAGTTGGAAGACCATTTTGAGAATGGTCTTTTGAGAATCCAAAGTCCTTTTTTGAGAATTATATTTCTTTTTTTAGCAAATGTATACCTTTATCACAGCAACCTTACCACCATGCAGATTCCATGCAGTTTTCCATGGAGACAGTCATATCACCAGAGAATATGCTTCTTTCTTTCCAGTATTTTTATTTTATTTTATTTTATTTTATTTTATTTTATTTTATTTTATTTTATTTTATTTTATTTATTTTATTTTATTTTATTTTATTTTATTTTATTTTATTTTATTTATTTTTGTCTCTTGCCCTACTGGGCTGGCGAGAACATCCAGGGCTTTATTAAATAGAAGTGGCAACAGTGGACGTCCTTGTCTTATTTCCAGTCATAAGGAAAAGGGATTTAATGTTTCATCATTACATATGTTGCTAACTCTAGGTTTTTCATGGATGTCCTTTTTCAGAATAAAGAACTTCTTCCTCTTTTCTATTTCCAGTTTGCTGAAACTTTTTAATTGCGGATGGATATTAAATTAACATACCAAATGCTTTCTTTTTTTCTGCATCAGTTAAGAGAATCGTAAAGTTTTTCTTTTTTATTACGATAAATGAGGTGCTTTATTTATTTATTATTTTACCGTTGAGCCAGTTTTGCTCCGTGCGGTAAACCCTGCATTGTAATGATGTGTTCCCTTTTCTGTATGTATAACTGAATGTGACTTGCTGATACTTGTTACAGATTTCCCCATCTAGGAACAGCAGACCTTTGCTTTGTGTTATTTCAGGATCTTGAGTCCCAGGCCAGTTTCTTGCTCCTGTGCCAGTGTCCAATAGCTTTTTCTTCTCCTTATTTCTCAGCATCAGTGTATCCTTGTCTGGGACTGGTGGTGACAGTGTTCCCTGCCTTCTTGTAGCACTAGACTGTGGTTATTGTTACAGGGGGAAAGGCTGGTGTGTGTGTAGCAGGTGGGCAAGTAGGTTCTGCCCCGTCCCCCAATAGTACCATGGCTTTCGCTCTGCTCTTCCCCTTGAGGCATGCTCTTTCCCTGGGCCCTAGGTGTGGGAGGTTTTCCTGATTCTCTCCTCCTAGTTGAAGGCTTTTGTTTCATTTGAGATGCTGCCAAGGTGGAAGAGCTCTCTCCCATCTTTCGCCCCATGCGAGTCTTTTTCAAGAGATCTCAGTTGAAGCCCTTGGAGAAGAGCTTATGAATGAGTGCAGGTTCCCCTTCTGTCTGGATCTTCAGTGAAGTTTTAGCTGTCATCCTAGCGGACACTCAGCCTTTATCTTTACTTCTGTCTTTAACATTCAGCCCATTGACTGTGACTGTTTCCTTTGCGCTTGTGGGTTGATATCTGCCATCATTTCCAATAAGTTCTTGACCATTATCTCTTCATGTATTTTTTTTCTGTCCCATTTTCTCTTTCATCTCCTTCTGGGACTCCAGTTAAACTCCAGTTAATAGATATTTGGTCTCAGATATTCAGGGTTTTGCTTTTTTTTTTTTTTTTTTTTTTTCCCTCTTTGATTTTCAATTTGGGTACTGTTTGGCCTGTTTTCAAGTTCACTGTTCATTACTGTCTTTTATTAAATTCATCTAAAGGAATATTTAATTTCTGTTACTATAGTTTTCATTTCTAACATTTCCCTGTGATTGTTTCTTTTCTAGCTTTAGTTCTGTAATGAAGTTCCCCGTTTCTTTAGTGTTTTTGACATAGCCATTTTAGTCTGTTTGATAATTCTAACATCTGGGCCCTGTCTAATCTGATTATATTAATAAATTCATCTTTTGCCTGTGGTTTGCTATTCCCTGGATCTTCTAATTTTTTTTTTAAGTTTATTTTTGAGAGAGAGAGCTAGTGTGTGGGAGCAGGGGAGGGGCAGAGGGAGAGGGGGAGAGAGAATCCCAAGCAGACTCTGCACTGCCAGCGTGGAGCCTGATGTGGGGCTCCCTACCACAGCTGCAAGATCATGACCTGAGCTGAAGTCAAGAGCCGGACACTTAGCCACCGAGGCTAAGAGCCGACTGGGCCACCCAGGCACCCCTGTATCTTGTAATTTTTTACCAAAAGCTGAATATTTATGCAAAAACAGTACGGATTGAAGTAAATACTCTTTACTTCCAGAAAACTGCCTATTATTTCTCATGTTAGTTTAATAGACAGTGAGGTTAAATCCATAAGCTGTGTTGTCGGGCTAGTTCAGGGTTTTTTGCAACTTTAGTTTGTTCCAGTGTTTTGAGAGCAGATTGAGACTTGACCTTCTGCAAGATTTGTTGTCTGAGTGTGATTTCAGTTATCTCTTTGTGCTTCATATATGAGCCTTCAGCTTTCTTGAACCTTGGGTGATTTCTCTGCTTCACAGCCCAGTTGTCTGTCCCTTAGTCATTCTGCAGTTCTTTTTGCTCTCGTCCTGCCCCAGGCTTTTGTGCGTGGCGAGCTATCTCCGTGCTAGTAACACCATTTCTTTTAGCAGTCCTTCCCTTGGTAGTTCAGTGTCCGGAGTATCTGGGTGGAAGTTTTGGTCTTAGCTCTCCTGTCTCACCTCGGCCCTTTGCAGCTGAACGTCTGAAATCTCTGGGGTTGATTTCTCTCCTTTCTGTCCATTCTTTCCCCCTCCTTGTCAGAGGACAGATGACTTGCATTTGAGGGTATCTCTCAGCTTTCCAGGCCCGTCTCCCAGCCTTCAGCATAATTTGGCAAGCCTGCAGTGGGGCCCAGTGGGAGTGAGTGGCTGGGTGGTACAGGTTTGCTCTGTGAAATCCTTGGAATTTTTGTAGATCTTGTCAGCACACATGTTGCTGTTAAAATTTATGAAAGGGTAAGTTGGTTTCTCCTTACCCTGCTCTGTGGTGGGATGATTCCTCCTTAGCCACTCCACCAGGAAGGAAACCATTGGGGGGCGGGGGGGGGAGGGCTCTCTTTCACGGCTCAACACTTTCTGGAATTTAGTTCCACTTAGGTGGAACTTTTTTTTTTTTTTTTTTTTGCATCCTGAGCTTTGACAGGTTCAGAAAAACCATGATTTTGTAGCTTTTATCTGGCTTGTTTTGCTTGTTAAGGTGAAAATGATCGTCTGTTGTCATTTCTTCATCCTGATTAGAAGTGGGGCTCCTCCAAAGGAATACTTTTTACTGTGTAGCCTGGCAAATACCTGATCAAGTGTGCTGCCATCATTCTAGCTGGTTTTCTGTAGATGTTTCTTAGAGCTACGTTTCTAAATCTTCATTCTTCTCAAGTCCCAAGTCTCCAGTTCTGTCCTCAAGTGGTCTTGTCTCTTATTTTGAGATTAAAGTCATCCGCATTAAAATTTAATTATGGGGCTTATGAGGAGTGTGGGGAGAATTTATGGTAGGTGCAGAGAAAAACTAAGCACATGACAAACTGAGATAAGAAAGAGTTGTAGAAAAAGGGAAACATGATTATATAGTAGTTTACTACCGGTCTCATCAGGTGCTAAACTCCTTTGGGAGATAATTATTAAGGCTGGAGGAAAGTGAGTGGTTGTGGTGTAAATCCTCACGTTCCGTAATCGGTAGATAATACTACCCTGGATGTTTCAGGGGACACCGTCATGAGCCTGTTACTTGAGATATAAATAGCAAGAATAAAGGGTAAAGATTTGAGGAATTGTACCTCAGTGTGAGAAGAGGAAATGTATTTGACTTTAGTCATGACGCATATTGTTACTTAGACAAAAATGAAAAAATATTTTTACAAAGAGGCCTAATTGACAGTCTTCTTAAGGGATGGTAAAAGTGAACCAGACCTTGTCTTCACACACTCTGTTTACCTTTATTTTCTAATTCTTGTTGGTTTACTTCACACTTGATGCCTTTTCCCTTCTTACAACTTTAGGTTTTACTTTATGATACTATGACGTTTTGTTTTTTAAGTTTGTTTCTACCATTCATTTAAAGCAGTAAAGACCTTTTAGGGGCGCCTGGGTGGCTCAGTCGGTTAAGCGTCCGACTTCGGCTCAGGTCACGATCTCGCGGTCCATGAGTTTGAGCCCCGTGTCAGGCTCTGGGCTGATGGCTCAGAGCCTGGAGCCTGCTTCCGATTCTGTGTCTCCCTCTCTCTCTGCCCCTCCCCCATTCATGCTCTGTCTCTCTCTGTCCCCAAAATAAATAAACGTTAAAAAAAAAAATAATAAATAAAGTAGTAAAGACCTTTTCATAGGAGAAAAAGGTCACTTCCGGAAGTTCCTGATTTGATTTGCTGCCTCCTTTTCACGTTCGCTTTAGATACAACATTGAAATTATTACTGTTTGAAGTTAGCCTCTAAACCATCCTTTCCGTATCTCTTCTAGGTTAGATAGAGAAGCGTCTTTTCTCAGTGTGGGTTGCGGCCTTTGGTAAGAGCATGTCGTCCATCTTGCCCTTCACTCCGCCAGTCGTGAAGAGACTGCTGGGATGGAAGAAATCAGCCGGTGGCTCTGGAGGAGCGGGTGGAGGAGAGCAGAACGGACAAGAAGAAAAGTGGTGTGAGAAAGCGGTTAAAAGTTTGGTGAAGAAGCTAAAGAAAACAGGACGATTAGATGAGCTTGAGAAAGCCATCACCACTCAAAATTGTAATACTAAATGTGTTACCATACCAAGGTAAGTGTCGTTAGAGCAGAAGTTCGATGGTCACACTGTTAAATTGCTTAGAGGAATCCGAAGGAACGTCACTGAAATTTTGTTACCTTCAAGTCCCCTGTAAATCGTGATTTTATTAAAAGATGACAGCTATCTTTAACCTGTCGTTTCAGTTTTGTGTGACTAGTTAAGACTGGTTTATTTTACAGATCCTTTTCTTGAACAATGAGGTTTGACCAAGCAAAATAAAATACTTAGTTGTGTTTCAGTCTTCACTGCGTTCATTGCCTAAATGCTTCACTGTAGCGTATCCTCGTGTCTGATTGAATGACATTTGAATAAAGAGTCAGAAAGCTTTTCCTCTCACTAGCGCAGCAGTGACTGACCGTTTTCTCTCCCCTTGGTCAAAGATTTGGTCAGTAAAGAGTTAACGGAAGCTGCTAACACAGTGATGAATTTTACTTCCATAATTTTTGCTTGAGTTGCAGCATGGCTTCTTAGAACAGTCTAGGAGGCAGCTTCTTAGATGTCTAGGGAGTCCGAACCTCACTCAGAGACCTACCTGCCTCTCGCACTGGAAGGGCCTGTTACTTAAGAGGGTGAAGTTTTATTAGCGTAAATCTAATTACTCGATAAGTACCACTGTCAGAAATACTGTTTCTTTAACAGAGAGGGTGTTTTTTAAGTGTTTCACTACACTCGTATGCCTTGCAGGGTTTGGGGAGTGGCAGCATACAGCATTTTCTAAAATGACGTGTGGCAGTGTCCTACGTGTAGGCTAGCATAAATAACGTGACCTCATTCTACTTCACAGGTTTCCCGTGAGCTGTGTGTGGCAAATGCAGTCAAATGCTTGTTGATAGTAGATCCCAGTAACACCAGCCTCTCTACTTGCAGATACTAACAGTAGGATATTTCCTGCCTTATTTAGTCAATTAATTAATTACCCGTTTCTTTTACTTTACCTGTTGCGTGTATATCTTCCAAAGAGTCGCTCTTTTGGTTTATGCTTCTGAGTGCCTGCTGAGTGCAGGGCACTGTTTCTAGACCCATGGGGATATGATACAGTATGACCAAAACAAAGTTCCTGCTCTTCTGAGCAAGGACAGATTGTAGCAAGTGGACAAATTGTAGAACTTGAGACGGTAATGAGTGCAAAGAAGACAATGAGGGATAAAAAAGCTGCTTTTGATTGGCTTGTGAGCCTCAAACCGGGCTTTGAGAAGTAGCATCTCACTGGAGGAAGAGTCTTCTGGGAGAGGAAGGAGCCAGTGTAAAGAAACCCAGCTGAGAAATAGCTGATTGTATTGGAGGATTTAAAAGGAGCCCCGTGGAAATGGAGGAATACAAAATGAGTACAAGACGTAGAAGGGGTCAGATTATATAGGGCATTGTAAGGCACTGTGGAAGTGTGGAGTTTAGTCTAAATACAACAGAAAGCAAATGAGGGCTTTGAAGCCTGGTTTTTAATTTAAAGTGTGTGTGTGTGTGTGTGTGTGTGTGTGTGTGTGTGTGTGTGTGTGTGATTGGACAGTGGGTCTGGAAGGAAGGAGATCAAGAGGCTAGTAAAGTGGTCTAAATTCGAGATGCTGGCGGCTGGACTGGCATGGTGGCTGTGCCGACACGTGAAGTGGACAGATTTGGATGGAGTAGACCTGAAGGGATTGGTAACGAATTGGCTGAGGGTAATTAGCCAGTTAGGACAAGTCAAGCTACATTTGTTAATTTTTCATCGTATGGTGTCTGGTATTTCAGTTCAGTAAACATTTATTAAACAACCCACTACGTGTGTGATAGGCTCTTCCTCACCGGAGTAAGAATTCAGTCTTTGCTTTTGAGTTGTTTCTAGAAAGGGGGATAAACTTGACAAAATAAAGAAGATAATCTCATGAGGTGTCATAGGTGTTAAGAAAGATGTTTGCTCAGGGAGTTATGTGCAGAGGGGAGGAATTTTGCCTACTCTGCAGCTTGTGGAAGTTTCCTTCTGGACTAGAATTGGTGCCAGAGTTGAATCTTGATGGGTGTAAGGGAGGGATTTAGTCAAGAGAGGCCCGGTTTGTCCAGAGTGGCCCTGTGGTCTTGAGAGGGATGGTAAGGGGGCTCTAGTTGAAGGATTTTGTGCCAACTAGTACTGAGTGTCCTGGGAGGCTCTAGATCGGGGGTGGGATGTGGTTGGGCTGAGGCTGTGTGAGGAATAAGGAACCTGAACCTGAACCTGAACCTGAACCTGAGTGGGTGAGGGTGGAGTCGCTGAAGAGTCTTAGCACAGCATCGGGCTGCGGTGAGGAGAATGCTCGTGACACTGTCAGGAGTGGAGGCAGGGAGGCTGGTGAGTAGGTTCTCTTCCTCCTCCAAGGGAGCGTGTGTGCGGGAAGATGGCGCCATGGTTTTGTGCGCCATCACTGGAGGCTGAAGTGGCCCGTGCGGGGCAGTCCTGACAGGGCCGAGCCTGAGTAGAGCTCGCGCAGTCCCTTCCTTTCAGGAGATATGGTGGGTGGTGAGCTGGTGATTGAAATGTGTGGAGGTCACCTTGGAATTCTTTTCCTGTTTCCCATTCTTCTTTTGATAGCCTCTTTGAAAGATCCTTCTAGGGTTCTTCTAGGGTTTATCATCATTAAAAAAAACATTTATTTTAGTGAAAGTGGAGTGGTGGTGGTTCATTGTCCTGTCTCTTTTACTGTCCAGAGTTCTTTGAAGCTCACAAATTTGACGTGTCTAATTTGGTGGCTTTTGGTTTTCGCTTTTGGAAGACATGTAGATTTGTTAATATCGGTTGTTGTCATCAAGAAGTCTAAGTTTCTAATACTGTGGTTTGGTTTCGTGTATTTTATAGAGTTTGCCTCATTTTTTAGTAGTAGAACACTTCGGTTATATCAGATTATTAGCTATTTCTTAACGAAGTGTCCTTAAACGTTCAGGCAACTCTTTACTTATCTAGACTGTAATGTTTGAGGAATAGGAGTGGGAAAGTTCTATTATGGATAAATCCAAACCATAGTTTAGGCAGAATTATTGAAAATACGACACAAAATGGTTTTACTGTGTAAGTTGATGTACTTAAAATTGCAAGGAAATTGTTAACAAAAACACGAAGGTTTTACAAGCCTAAAAATACCAACAAGTTCCTCTGATGAACAGGAAACAAATCCCTTAATTTTTAAAAACAGCAAATGTTTTCTGTTAAGATATCTGTTTTGTTGACTGTTCATACTTTTCCCCCTCGACCCCTCTTCTTTTAACGTTAGAGTGGACCAAAGTTAGGGCAGAAACTGTCCTGGCTTCATGTCCCTCCCACCCCTCACGCAATTACTCTGCCTCCATGGCTTTGTCTGGAGGGATAGAAGCTGTGGTTAGGTACATATGTCACTGCCTCTTCCCTGTTGTTGAAGGTGGTGGTACAAAGTGATTCATTGGTAGAACGTCACCTTCCCAAGCTGCAAGGAGCTGAATAGTATAAAAGTAAAGTTTTGTGAGGTTTTTATATCTCAAGCACTTTTGAGACCAAGGAATGGAAGACAACTCCGTTGTAAAATTAGAATGGCATTTGATATTTGGGTAATGAATCAATCAGAAGAAGAAAAAAAAAAAGGCTTCCAATGCATATTCTCTACAATAAAGCAAAATCTAAACTGCTGTAGGGTTGGGAACTCTGAAGTTGAAGGAAAGGGGCTGTGAGGTCTAAAAGGGCCATTTTATAATATCCATTATATTTTAAATGTGTAGGAATGAAGAATTCATTTTCATAGACGTGCGCTATAAGGCTTTCCTACAGTGGTGCTTTGACCATATAATCACATTTTTGATCTGTCATCCTAAGAAAATAGGAATATGGTCAGAGGTTGCTGGTGTTCATTTCAGTTTTGTTGGTAATAGCAAAGAATTAGAAAAATCCGAGTCCTGATCCTTCATTTTCTTACCTCTGGTTGTAAAGGAAACTTACCAACCCATTTTTATACCAGAATTGAACATGAATAGTACAAGAAAAGTTTATTATACCAGTGTTACTTATAAAAACAGTTGCAAAAATTGTAAATAAATATCAGAAACTAGAGTTATTGGGACGCCTGCGTGGCTCAGTCGGTTAAGCGTTCAACTTTGGCTCAGGTCATGATCTTGCGGTTTGTGGGTTCCGGCCCCGTATCAGGCTCTGTGGTGACAGCCCGGAGCCTGAGCCTGCTTGGGATTCTGTGTCTCTCTCCCTTTCTGTCCCCCCGCCCCCACCTCAAAAATAAGTAAACATTAAAAGAAAAAAGTAGGGTTCCTAAAAACAAAATCACAAAATCATGACTAGGAAAGGTTTATTGCAGGAAGGCAAATACGATTCAACTGCAGGAAACCTATTAATATGAGATATTCCACAGTCATATTTAAGACAACTCTGGGGCACCTGGGTGGCTCAGTTGGTTAAGTGTCCAACTCTCTGTTTTGGTTCAGGTCATGATCTCATGGTTTGTGAGATCAAGCCCTGCGTTGGGCTCTGCACTGACAGCGTGGAACCTGCTTGGGATTCATTCTCTCTCTCTCTCTCTCTCTCTCTCTCTCTCTCTGCTTTTCCCCACTCACACACATGCACACTCTCTAAATAAATAAATATTTAAAAAAAAAAGAATAACTCTGATCATCTTGATGGATCTAGAAAGAGATTTTTATCAAATTCTGTATTTATTCATGTTAACAAATTAGAAATAGGAATTTCCTTAACTTGATAAAGCATACTTGTAAAAGTGTTAACACTTAACCATGAATCTTTAGAGAGAATATACCAAATTATTTATGGATACTCTAAAAAAAGGAATGTCCTATAATCTTTTCCTAATATTTATATATAAAAGTATGTTTTATTTTTATAGCCAGCACAATGAAATGTTTAAATAGGACTTTTGGGCAATACATAAACTATTTACTCTTTTTTAACCCTTAGAAGTCAGTTTTTCTGTTAAAAGGTAATTGTATTTTTATTTTGTTAACAGTCTTTAGAAACATACACATTTATATTTGTATTTTCCTTCAAAAAGTATATT